AAGATCCCCTGAATTGCTCGCTCTTCTTTGTGATACCAGGGAAAGAATTTATCTATTTTTTGCCAGCAGAAGACATTTTTTCAACCTCATTTCTTGATTTTGTTTCTTCAAATTATGGCAATATCTAGGGTGTTGGCCACATACTAATTTAAGCATCTGCTGATAAAAATGTATATTTCCAAAGATTCACAGATGTGGCTTGCTTATCTTTAGAAGTTCTCTGATAGTTCAACATGTATCTGAGTCAGAGTTTGAGGGCTGTAGGGTGCAGGAAAGTCATAGTTTTGTGGTAGGAAAAGAGCAATAAAAGTTTGAGCAGTTTGTTGGGAGACCAACAGCAGGAGTAAGCCTAGGGAAAAAAATCTCACTCCGATAAAAGAGAAACTTAGATCTAAATTTGGGAGAAAGGAAAGACTCTCAGGTAATGAGTTATTTCAGCAGCTGGTAATCTTCCCTGACCATGAGGGACATCCATGAAATAAACAGGGTAGAACCTTCCTTTCCTTAATAGATTCATAGATTTTAAGACTAAAGGGAAGCATAACATCATCTAGGTATGTGCAAAAGACTATCTAGAAGAGGTTGAGAGAAAATTACCTCTCCCAAATCCTATCCTATAGTAATCCTAAACTATTAATAACCTTGGGACTTTACAGAACGTTTTCATTCTATTAAGAAAGTAACTAAGCATCAACCTAACTTCACCTGGTGGAAAATAGGCTTTGAGGGACACCTCTTGAGAGGTAGTCAATCTGGATTAAAAAAAGCTATATCTGCCTAAAGAAAACAATTTTGGTGAAGAGGCCTCATTCTCAATCTAGCAAACAGAGTTATCAGTAGGCTCAGGAACCCATAATCTAGTTTTTGAGGTTAAGACCATATTGACAGGATAATTAAGTATTTCTTGAAACCTTCCACAAGGCAGGTATCAGTAAACTCTTGCCACTTTTGAATCTATAGTCGAGTCAAATGCAGTGTGTTTTGAGGAGTGAAAGTGAATCACCTTGGCTTATCTTTTGGTCTCAGAAACGAAACCGGGAGCCAGGCATCTGGAATGCAGGTTGTCTCATCATTTATTAGTCAACTATCAAGGTAGAGGAAGATGTGAATTTCTTTCTTTCCCAAGTGAGCTTCTGCCACAGCTAAGGCTTGCTTAATACCCTGGCCAAAATGGTAGAGCTTTGCACTGGTAACGAACCCCTCCAAAGAAGATACAAAGGTAGTTCCTGAGAGATGACCTGGCAGATACGTGTAAGTAAGTGACTGAAGTAGAGCACCAAGTCAATCCTGTGAATTTAAAATGCTACAATTGAGACTAAGGTCACCATTCTGAACTTGCAGATACAGATGCTGAGTAGTCATAAAACCAGAATGGAATACAGAAGCACAGGAATTGACATAATGAATCATATCAGTGCTCCATCTCATCTAATAGGCTATCTCTAGCAATGATCAGCATTAGATGCTTTAAAGGAAGATGCAAAAACCTGTGTAGTGGACATATCTGCAGTAACCATCTCACTGAGGAAATTTCTTCCTAACCCCTACCCCTTAATGGTTGGCTTATTCCCTAAAGCATGAGATATCTTGCTTGTAATTTCTCCCCCACTCATCTGAATTAGGTTTGGATGGTCTCATTATACCCTCAAGCATTTTGGTCTTCAAGAGTAGAAATCATTCAATCAATATAGTATCTTTATGGAAGACAGTCTTGTAATTATGGTTCCATGAATCACAGAATCATAGAACTAGAAGGGACCTTGAGAGGTCATCTAGTCCAGTCCCCTGCACTCGTGGCAGGACTAATTATCTAGACAATTCCTGACAGGTGTTTATCTAACCTGCTCTTAAAAATCTCCGATGGTGCAGATTCCACAACCTCTCTAGGCAATTTATTCCAGTGCTTAAACACTCTGACAGGAAGTTTTTCCTAATGTCCAACCTAAACTGCCCTTGCTGCAATTTAAGCCCATTGCTTCTTGTCCTATCCTCAGAGGTTAAGAAAAACAATTTTTCTTCCTCCTCCTTGTAACAACCTTTTACATACTTGAAAACTATTATCATGTCCCTTCTCAGTCTTCTCTTTTCCAGACTAAAGAACCCCAATTTTTTCAAACTTCCCTCATAGGTCATGTTTTCTAGACCTGTAATCATTTTTGTTGTTCTTCTCCGGACTCTCTCCAATTTGTCCAAATCTTTCCTGAAATGTGGTGCCCAGAACTGGACACAATACTCCAGTTGAGGCCAAATCAGAGGGGAGTAGAGTCGTGGGCCCTGCAACCAGATTGCTGAATAGAGAGAGGAAACCCAGGAGCAGAGAAGTAGCAGCGTTCTAAGCCCCTGGCGGAGTGGCAGTTGTAGGCTTATATAACAAGGGCTGTGGGGTGGGGCTTGGAGCCTAATAGTCACCATATGGAAAGCAGCTTGGGCAACAGCATGGCATGGCCTCCAAGGAGAGAATATACTATAAAAGAGAAACATGAGTTGTGAGGACAGCAGAGAGAGTTAACTGCCTTGAATAAAGAAAGGATTATGGATTATAAGGGATATCCCAGGTACTAACCTCTGAAGAGCCCTAACCAATTTCAGAGTTGCCACCTACAGGCTGTTAGGTATTATGTTTATTACTGTAACTAAGCTGATAACAAAGGCATACGAATGTAACAATAGTAGACTCCCATTCCCTGACACTGCTATGTCACCCTCTTCTATTGTTCTGACCTGTGGAAAGGCTGCAACTTGTTCCTTAGTAGTTACTTGCAAGAAGGATTCTTGAAAAGTTAGGGGGAGAGGGATGATTTGGTATCATGAAGTCAAAAAGTTCCCCGAAGCCAATGGCTTATTGAGCTGATGTGGTTAAGGCACTTCAGTTTCATAGCCAATGGTACACAAGGAAGTGATGTGGCCAGCAGCAGGTCTGACCACCTTTGACCTAACCTGATGGATCAGGTACCAATTTTGCAGCTGGCAGAATGTGAGCACAGCTCAGAAATGATCTGCATGTTGTAGTGAAAGCCCTTTAACCTGCGGTAGCTAATGAAAAACTAGGTCAGCAAGTTTGACACACAGCAGCTAAAGGCTGTCAATCCTCTTATCTCTGACCCCAGCCAAATTGATGTCTTCAGTCGGCAGAGATGTGTCAATCATACAGGCTTGTGCATGCTCTACCTTCACCAAGTATGTTTCCATTCAGCTTTTCATGTTTTGCTTTGAAGCGAGACGGTCTCGATTCCTGGGTTAGGAAGGAAAGGCAGTGTACCTGTACTTACCCAGCAAGGTTGAACATGAAAAAATCTCAGGGAGAAACTATGCTGGAAGAGATAACATTGAGGAGGAAGGAGATAGGAATAGGCGAAACTAACAGAGTTTGGACATGGAGAAAATGAATGGAGGGTGGAAGGAGAGGAGTAACATGGGGAGACCAGGGAGCAGATGGAACCTCAGAAAATGTCTATAGTTTAATGCTGTGTTTGTTATTAGAGGAAAACATGACAAGTTTAATAACGTCATATATCTAATCATTTTATATCAAACTGTACCGTGATTTTTGTGATAAAACCTGTATTATTTGTAAAACTTAGCTTGTGTTAGGATTCTAATCTCAGCTACTCTACTGTAACTTCAATGTAGTTACCCCAAATTTAAACTGGAGTAGTGAGATCAATAGTCTGACCACTGAAGTTTTGTAGTTGTGCATATGATCCATTAGATCAGGGGTGGGAAAATGTTTTAATCCGGCCTTCGAGCTCCTGCTGGGGAGCAGGATCTGGGGCTTGCCCCGCTCCAGTGCTCTAGCCAGGGAGCAGGGTTGGAGGCTTGCCCCTCTCCACGCGTCTCCTGGAAGCAGCAACATGTCCTCCCTCTGGCTTCTACATGTAGTGGCAGCCAGGGGGCTCCACACACTGCCCGGCCCCAAGCACCGCCCCCGCAGCTCCCACTGGCCGGGAACCGCGGCCAATGGGAGCTACAGGAGTGGAGCCTGTCCGCGCCTCTGCATGTAATTCGGAGGAGGGATATGCTGCTACTTCTGGGAGCTGCTTTATGTAAGCGCCGCCTGGAGCCTGCACCCCTGACTGCTTCCTGCGCCCCAACCCTGATCCTCCTCCCGCCCTCCAAACCCCTCGGTCCCAGCCCAGAGCACCCTCCTGCGCCCCCAATCCCTGACCCCAGCCCCACCCCAGAGCCTGCACCCCCAGCCAGAGCCCTCACCCTCTCCCACATCCCACCCCGAATTTCCTGAGTATTCATGGCCCGCCATACCATTTCCATACCCAGATGTGGCCCTCGGGCCAAAACGTTTACCCACCCCTGCGTTAGATGCTGTATGCAGACATCCCCACAGTATCCGGTAAAGTGTGCTGTTGAGTAAGAAAGTTTGTGACAATGGGGATTTTTAATAGAAAAAACATAGAAGTGACAACCTTCAAAAAGAATATTTACAATTCTCCCTTGTCTTTAACAATGAGATATCAGTGATAGTTAAGATTACATATATGAGCCTCTTACCAAGGATGACATCTTGCCCAAGTCAAGACACTGTCCCACACAGCTCATCTTGTTTTGCACATTTTGAGTAGAGTTATCATTTCTATCCTGCTAATAGTCATCTCTGAAATCCAGAATGTTTTCTGTTGGAAAGACCTTCGGCAGCCAACACAATACATTTCCTGGAGATAATCATGCAGATTTCTAAAGTCTAACATTTTTTAAACTGGGAGTTTTCTTTCAGGTTGTTGTCTACTTCTCTTGGCTGCTATACTGCTTGTGACATCATTGTGAGCAGCAGTCAACTTAGTTATATCTCCACACTTTATTACCAACTGCATTTCACAATGCAAGAATGTTTTCCACCTTTTGAACTCTGATGGCTGGGTAGAGCAATCTCATAACCACTAGCTTGAGAACTTTGGGCATTTTTCTGTCACTCCGTAATGGTATAACAAAGCAGCATGCGTGCAAGAAACCCAAACATTAAAGAAAGATAATTGAAAAACACTTACCTTTATCTCAAACTCATAGTGCTCATCTTTTCCCTGCCCACAAAGGACATAGCGCGGAATGCTAATTTTAATTGGGTCCTTTAGGTCATCTGGATTTGCTCCCAGAGAGCGACAGATCATCCGCTATCAAGTAGATATCAAATAAGAAGAACAAAGGAAGACCAGAATCACTACATGGAATATACTTTAGTTGGATAGAAATAAGAAAATGCTCTTGGACAGAGAAGTAGAGAAAAGAGCATAAAGGAGGTAAAGGTTACTTAGAAACATGAAGGATTCTTTGAAAGAAAAATGGTAATCATCTTATTAATGAATCCTCACATTTCCTTTAGATATACATGAAAAACACTGTGATAAAGCCATTTCAATTGTTGTTTAATATTTGAAGGCGTTTGCAGCTTAGAAGTAAAAAGCTAAAAAGGAAGCATTAAACTTTATGTTTTGATCTTACCTGAAAATATAAAAATATGAATTAGGACTTTACAACCGGAAATTAACCTTGCTTTTTGTTTGCTTTAAATAGCAGATCTATTTGCAGACATCATGCAAAGCTTGAGAGAATCTGGGCAGTCCTAAAAATATTTTAAATCCTAAAGCATTTTATAATTCAATAAGGTACAGATAACACTTTAATCCATTGTCAAAACAGTTTCCTAGCATATCCTTTAAGCCGCATCTGATTAACAGAAATGTCAAATATGACAAATGTTCATGGTCTGGATAGCAAGGTGCTGGAGATTACAGACATCTTTACAGATAAGTCTACAATGAGAGCGCATTCCTTTGACTAAGAGCTAATAAGATCTGCAATTTAGCAATCTTGTATTTTCCGAAGTTGTGTGAAAAACTAAAATATTTTTGCAACTCAAGATATTAATGTTTTGCAATGCTTGTGTCCAAAAGTGGCATAAGCATTTGTAATGAATAAAGATATTAATTATGTGATTTCTGGTACCATTAAGTTCTCCATCTTTTTAGTGGAAAGAGTTTAGTCTGAAAAGCTTTGGAATTTCACTTTTATTTTAAAAAGCAATAGCACTGAGACAAATGCAAGTTTATAATATAGATTTAAAAAACAGCTTTAATTTTGCTGTCATATTCCATTTTTATACATAATGATGTTACCCAAGGACACCTATATAATCTAGACCGTGACCCATCTCCAATGCTTTACTGATGACCACCTGAGACTCTGTGTTCTTTGCTCCAGAGCAAGCCGACAGGCTATTTAGAGGTCTTATTTCTATGAAAAAATACTAAAACCCCAGTTGAAAGTGTTATTTACAATTTATTAACATCTGACTTTTTATTGTATTGTAAATTGATCTCCAAAACCAAAATATCCTGTTTAATTTTTTTTATATTTCGATACCACATATAAACAATCTTTTAAAGCAAAAAAGACCAGGTAATCTTCTGTTATTTTAGTAAGTGAAATCCATATTTATCACGTGTTGGATTGACAATCCTAGAAACCTAAGTAGAGCCACCACATTGCATGAACTCCTATGCTTAAATGCCCCAATTCTGACCAGCACGGACTATATCTAGGGGAGAGTGAGAGAAAATGTAGTTCAGTCTTCAGCTCACTAACTCCTTGGTCTGTCCGTTGCAACTGCCCACAGAGTGCTTGTTGGTTTCAGCTGTGATGGTGGTTTTTGCGCTGTGTACTTATAGCTAACAGGAACTGAACCAAGACTACCAACCCTTTCACATAGGCCTCTTTCCGTGGTATCTGTCCATAGATAACTTTTGGTTACTTACAGATTTACCTGGCTTGAACTGGCCAGCTAGAGCAAAAATCTCTCTCACACATTACTAATCCCAAACTCAATTTTTTACAATATTATTAGGGCTGGTCAAGAACTTTTTGCCAACATCTTTTTCTAATAGAAAATTAGGCTTTCAAAAATGAAATTTTTTCACAGAAAGCATCTGCTTTCTTGAAAATTTTCATTGTTTCCATTTGAAAACTAAACTTGAAAAACAGAAGTTATTGGTCAAAAGCTGAACATCTCAGTGGTTTTTGATTTCTAAAAGGAGGGAAAAAGGGTCTGATTTTTTTTGTTTAACACTAGTTAATATCTACCTTGAAAGGAAGAACAGTTCATTCCCCTGAAACTGACATTTTAGTTTAATCTGGCTATAAAATAATACCACAAAAGTTACTCTCAGTAAATTAAAATAGTGATAGAGGGTGTTTATCATTTATTCATCTTTGTGGAAAATATACGGTTTCTACTGAGAATTTACATACAAATAATAGTTTAGAAAAAGAAAGAATATAGTACCAAACAAAATACACTACAGTATTTGGCAAAGAATGTCCTAACAAATTAACAAAGCTTTGACAACCATCAATGTTTATCAAATAACAATTTAAATTACAGTGGAATAAAAGGAGTTTCAGTGCAAGACTGTTCTGTGAAAAGTGTAGAATTTACATTGCCTTAGATTTGAAGACAAATAAGAGTATAGAAATTCTGTGGTGTATCTAACCAAATGCAGCCATATAGTAGAATTTTTCTATATAATCCAGAAAGTGTTGCATACAGTATGTATAGTCACATACCAACCTTGATAACAGTAGCTCTCACAATTATTTACTTTTTAAGTTCCAATGAGACTCACTTGGAATGTCTTCTCAGCATCAGTAAGGCCTTGCCTACATTACACTACAATGCTATTTTTGGTGGCAAAACTTTCCTGTTTTGGCGACAAAATAAAACTACCTCAACAAGAGGCATAAAGCTTTTTGCGGCAAAGTTAAACTGACAAAGCATCAGTGTAGACTGGGGTGGGCAAACTTTTTGGCCTGAGGGCCACATCTGGGTATGGAAATTGCATAGCGGGCCATGAATGCTGTCAAAATTGGAGGTTAGGGTGCGGGAGGGGGCTGGGGGCTCTGGGCTGGGGATGGGGTTGGGGGTGCAGAAGGTTGCTCCGGGCTCAAGCAGCTCCCAGAACCAGCAGCATGTTCCCACTCCGGCTTCTAGGCCCAGGCGCGGCCAGGCAGCTCTGCACGCTGCCCCGTCCGCAGGTGCCGTCCCTGCAGCTTCCACTGGCTGCGGTTCCCGGCCAATAGGAGCTGCAGAGGAAGCGTGCGGCGCCCGCTGGCTGCCCCTACATGTAGAAGCCGGAAGGGGGACATGCCGCTGCTTCCAGGAGCCGCACGTTGCGGGGCAAGCCCCGGACCCTGCCCCCCAGCAGGAGCTCGAGGGCCAGATTAAAAAGTCTAGAGGGCCGGATGAGGCCCCCGGGTCATAGCATGCCTACCCCGGTGTAGATGCTGCTGTTTATGTCACCATTACAGGCTCCCCCAGTATCCCACATTGCTTGCTGTGACCGCTCTGCTCACTGTTTTGAACTCGGCTGCCTTGCATCTAGCTACGCAGGCAAGCGCCCCTCCCCTTTGTAAACTCCGTGAAGCTTTGACATTCCTCATCACAGAGAGCTCACAGACCTGCTAAGGATGCTGCTCCCGCTAGCTGAGGAGGCTGTGGGAGAACTCAGAGGGAATCACAGAACCATAGGCAGGCAGGCAGGCAGAGAGGGCTGCTGCTGTGGTGAGGGAGAGGGGGAGAGACTCCTGTGCAGAGCTGGGGGCTGATGTGGGGGGGGTGTCCTCCTCGGGAGGGTGTCCCCCTCCCACTACTTCAGGATTGGTTGCTTAGGCTGCTGTCTGAACTTAAAGAGACAGCATGCTGATGCACTCTCCCCCAACACACACACTGTTTCTGTCTCTCCCTCTCCCCCCCACGCACACACTCCCTGTCACACACTTCTCTCCGCCTCCCCCATACGCTTCAGTTGAAAAGTGGCTGGCAACTGTTCCTATGGAACGATGGGATTGAGAAACCTGCAACATGTGTCGCTGTACCTGCCCCATAAGGCATTGCAAACCCTTCCCAAAGCATCCTGCGGGCAGTTGCACAGTGGGATAGCTGCCCACAGTGCGCTGCTCTCTGTGTCAATGCAAGAGCTGTTAGTGTGGATGTGCTCTGCCGACACAAAGATGGATCACGTGGACATGCAACAGCGCTTTAATTAAAGCTGCATAACTTTTGTTGACAAAACTCTGTAGTGTAGACAAGGCCTTAGGCCTAAATGGGTTATAATGATTATGTATGTCCAACTGAAACATCATTGTGTTGAACTATGTGAGCCCATAATACTTCTGGGGGAATTATGCACCACTGCACAATGCAGAATTTTGCAGAAATTGATGTTGGGCATGCAGAATTTCCTTTCCCCCCTCCCCCCCATAAATGGGCTGCACAGCTGCTGGCCGCCATTAGGGACCGCTGGACCCAGCAGAAGACAAGGCCGGGGGGAGGGAGAGGGAACTGGAGAGTTCCCAGCAGCTGCCGTTCCCAGCACACCCTGAAGGAAGGAGGCGGCAGCGCACAGGAAACTCTGTGCAAGCTGGGGACCCAGAATCAGGCTCTTTCAACCTCTGGATCCCTGGGCTCTAGGAGGGTAGGGTCTGTGAGTGTCTGGGCTGGTGGGGGTCAGGGTAGGGGGTATGAATGTCTGGGCTGGGGGTGTGTGTCTGGGCTGGGGAGAGGCTGCAGCTAGGCTCGGGGTGAGGGCAAACTGGGTTGTCGTAGGGGTTTCTTTAACTCTCTACTCCCGGGGCAATTTTTTGTTGTGTCTGTATTGTTTCAGACATACTTGACAAATATTTTGAAATAAACTACCAAAATATTGAAACTGGTGTGATTATATAGTGTTATTTTGACAAATAAAATCTGTAGAATTTTTTGGTGCAGAATTCCCCCACAAGGACAAAAAACTGTCCATCTATTCAAAACCTTCTGTATTGTCTTTTTTTCCTATGACAGGTTTCAGAGTAGCAGCCGTGTTAGTCTGTATCCGCAAAAAGAACAGGAATACTTGTGGCACCTTAGAGACTAACACATTTATTAGAGCATAAGCTTTCGTGGGAAGAAGTGGGCTGTAGCCCACGAAAGCTTATGCTCTAATAAATTTGTTAGTCTCTAAGGTGCCACAAGTACTCCTGTTTTTTTTCCTATGTATTTGTTTAAACAAAAATCAACATATTTCAATGTATTTAAGTCAACAGGTTTGTAGGTTTTTGTTTGGGGGAATGAGAATTGGGG